ACACACACACACACACACACACACACACACACACACACACACACACACACACACACACACACACACACACAGACAGATCGTATCTAAAGGTATCTGGCCTACATCTGATCAGAGCTCCCGCCAACTTGAGACAAGCTTAATCGGCAGGAGTTCTGGGAAGGGTTCTGAATGTGTGCCAGGGGCTTCACGGTACCGCTGTTGTACTTACTCTAGAAACGTGGTGACGGTGTCCCTGCTACAGTTGGACCAGGCTAGCGGACTGGTCTGTGTGGTTAGCAGGTGGGACATGACGTGTGGCCGCTGCTGGGGCGGCGTCTGGCACCCGCTCTTCTCGTCATCGTGCTTCATACCAAAACTGGAGTCAAATTTATACATCATGAGGAGATTCGTAAAAACAGTCAGAAAATTGATCCGTGAATAGTTTCATAAGGTTGGTGAATATAGCAAGTGCAAGGTCCTTTATTTAAAACCACTTGTTAAACAAGATGACCTTGGTTTCGATGACTGGTTTACTGCACAAGGGCACATGGTACTGAAGCAGTCAGAGTGACCCAATCAGAATTGCCTTGATATGAAAATGACAGACAGTCATCGAATCGCTGGCTGTTGTTTAACAAGTGGTTGTGAACAAAGAACTTTTCCATTCAGTTGAAAATTCAGTAAGTGAATGATTAACTTTTTTACTGGAGCGATCGTCTACCCCAATCAAGAAAAGAGAAGAACAGATGAACCAAGCCGTTAGACATTTCTCTGTGCTCACTTGTGTCCGATCTCGTGTGCCATAGTGAAGGCGACAGCCAGCCCCGTGTCCTCGTTGATGTTACAGCTGCGGTGCGGCTGACACATGCCGTACACCTGCGCCAGCCCCAGCGTCCCACACGGCTCGTTCATACCTGTACAGATGTCGTACCTGCAGTGAGAGACAAACTGATGAAAATTTGGTTTTCAGGCATCCAATACAATTTCGGGGCGGCAAAACTGGAAATATCCCGGCCCACATTAGCACATTTGCATCAGTGTGTCATATTTTGGGCGTGTAAAACAACACAGCAACAAGCCCTAAGATGAGTTTTTTTTTAATTTTCCGGGTGGTACCCCAAACTCATCCCAGGATCCAACCAGGTACCGTTTTCCGTCACTATTTTGGCATTTTTGCTCCACGAATGTCGATATACATTGTTTCAACTCACCATGTAGATAAGTGACTAGAATATTATTGAGGTAGAGGATAAGGAACTGCGAATTCTGTCTTAATTCTGCAAACAGTGCGGTTTGAACGTCTCGTCTCTATAGTAGTAGTAGTAGTAGTAGTAGTAGTAGTAGTAGTAGTAGTAGTAGTAGTAGTAGTAGTAGTAGTAGTAGTAGTAGTAGTAGTAGTAGTAGTAGTAGTAGTAGTAGTAGTAGTAGTAGTAGTAGTAGTAGTAGTAGTAGTTGTTGTTGTTGTTGTTGTTGTTGTTGTAGTAGTAGAATGGTTTATTTATTTAGAACCTCAAACATACACAATACGCTCTGACAACAGACTCGCAGGCAACCCAAATGGATGCCTGAATTGCTCTGTAGTCAACACAAAATATCGTTAAAATATGCTATCAAAAGGTTATATTGTTAAAACATTATTGCACATTATTACACATTGCTAAAATTCATATTAATTATAAATATTCCTCAGCTTTACACATTACGCTGATGTGGAGTTATAAATGGTAGTCCATATGGTACATTTGTATGGCCTGGGTAGTGACTACCTTGTCAGAAGGATGGCCACGTCGTGGTGGTTGGGGTGCATCTCGTCCTTTGGGTTGATGCTCTTAGACCACTTACAGAAACTAGACATCGTGTGGTCAGCGTGGTGTGAGATGGACAACTCCTCCTGTCGAAAAGAATAGTTGAAGGGAGTCAGGCTACGTATATGATGAATGATATCTACATGTATATACATGTAAAGGGTACAGAACCAAGCTACAAGGTTCTGCGCGAACAATTATCAAAGGGGTGCTAGTGTAACGGAAATGAAAAGAAACCTACAGTGGGGGTCGCTGGGAGACAGACGTAGAATGTCCAGACTGTGCATGATGTACAAAATGACTAATAAACTGGTGGATGTACCAACCACTAAGTATCTGATACCAGCCCAGAAAAGAACAAGAGACAGTCACGCCTTCAAATATCAGAGTAATCAACCAAGAATTGAGGTATTCAAAAACTAGTAATTCCCCAGAACTATCGTAGACTGGAACTCGTTGCCACCAAGCACAGTTGGGGCATCATCACTAGAAAGCTTTAAACAACTCTTGCAATCAAATGTGCAAAGATTGAGTGTAACAAGTCGTTCGGTGTGATATAGCTAGCTGCCACCGCGCCGCGTGCCTGCGAAGCTGGTGTGATACGCCGAAGGGCGGTTATACCGGCTATATCGATACAGATACAGATACATGTTATAGAAATTATCGTCAGAGATATTGCAACCCAATTGGAACTAGTGTAGCAGATAACATCAAATTTTGGAGGGATCTTTCACTTTGTGATACAAGCACCAAACTTGGTATAAATACTCATGAGACATTACTCTTTTGAAAAAGTACGCGGGCCACTTGATTTGACTTTTGGTACTGCAGCTAACCTTCCGGGCTTTGTATCTCCTGTTCTAAACATGCTACAGTCATCATTTTTATGTGGTAGAAAGCTGTTAAAGTAAGGAAGAAGTGAAGTTGCCGGTGCAAAAATTTGCTCCAAGGGCGCTTTTTGGTACTGCAGCCGACCTTCCGAAGCAAAAAACGCGCCCTTGAAGCAAATTGTGCACCGGCAAAAAACGCCTCTGCAGGTTCAACCAAAAGTCAAATCAAGTGGCCCGCGTACTTTTTCAAAAGTGTAATGTCTCATGAGTATTTGTACCAAGTTTGGTGCTTGTATCACAAAGTGAAAGATTATTTCAGTTATCTGCCCCACTAAACAGTCAGAAAACAAAGGCGATTTAACCTAAAGATCACCAAGACACCAACCCAACACCATCTGTCTGTCTGGAAACAAAATAACTCAAGAAGGCTTGAATGGATTGTCTTGATATTTGGGTAGGTCTCTATAAGACCTAGAAATGATTAGATTTTCGGCCCCTGGCGGCTTGTTGTGGTACTGCAGCTGAACTTCTGGTTTTGAAATCTCGTGATCTAGACAAGCTAGGGTCACGAAATTAACAATATCATACTTTGCGAAGTGATAATAATTTCACCAGTGTGTTGCATGTTACTAGATAGGGGCTCGGGAATACTTTGCAGAACAATTCTGCTATTATTAAGAGCAGGATTTTAAATGTAATCTATTTACAGGTGGCCATCACCACGCATATGATTTACAAAAGCACGTAACATGACATGGAGGTATGAGATCGCCGAACTCTAGTTTACACCTCGTGATATTTTTATTAATGAAGCTTCAAACACATTTGTGGGAGGAATTACCATAACAGGTGACTATCGCCTCTTCAAGATGTCAAACCTGAGACTAGACTGTAAGGTTTGAACCACTCACACCGGGGAGGACCCCTCCCCTGCTCTTTTCGATAAATGTACTGGGTTCTTTAATGTGCTCAATGTGTGACGGGACCTTTACATTCTATCCGAGAGGACGTCCCTAACCGAAGGAGTTACCCATGGCCATTCACACCTGTGTCAAGTGATAAAATGAGATGAGGCCACACCGACTTAATTTTATGGATGACATCCTCTGAAGACCCCCAAACTAGTGCGCGCGGGCGAATAAAAGAAAATTTCGGCAAAATATAAAAATGCTACTAAACCACAACTACCATGGACCACCCAGGCCTAGAGCCAGCACGTCGGCAGAACGTACCCCACATTTTCACGCTTTTCGGTGGACTTTTGGTCAACGTTGCATTAGAATTTTGCCTGTTGCAGATGACATTTTTTCGGGCATAACACTTGGAAACTACAGACGAGATGTTAACCTTATATGCGCGAATACGACCTTATACGAGTATGAGACGTTCTACCGAAGTGCTATGTATAATACATTACAGGTTTCGCGCAGGTGCAGTACGTTCTGCCGACGTGCTCCTAGAGCCAGGCCGGAGCCTCAGTGGACGTGATGACTTTTTCTTTTCTTTTCTTTTTCTTTTTTTTTGAGAACAAGCGAAAATCAATGCGCGCGCGGATGTCATCCATAAAATTAAATCGGTGTGGCCTGACAGGAAATGACAGATTCTGATTCTGGAATGGAAAACTTACTGGTTCCTCTTCCAGCAGCATTAGGCGCACGAGCACAATATTGATGAGGTTCCCGATGGACGGGTCGTGGTAGAGTCTGGAGACCTGAGTGAGAAGAGGGATAAGGAATTGTCTCACGGTTCAAACATTACAACGTCCACAGTTATACTTTTGTTTACGTCTAATATCTCGCTAGACGTGATCTCGTGGTGCTGGTTTATGCTTGGTTCAGTTGGGATTCGATTTTTTAGGTATTTAACTTTTAGTGCCTAATGTGCTTGTGTAGTGCTGGGAGTGTTCATAGAAGAGCACGTCGAGTCGGTGCGAACTGTCGATGTGTCGGGAGAAGGCTCTTTGTTGGCCTTTGTTGACTAGACCAGAGAGGTCCTCTCTCTTTTCCTAGCAACATGCTATCTGACCGTTTCAGGCATATTTCGTGCAATACACGCAGTAGTTTTGTTTTGTCCATTGCATGATCTCAAGGACCCTCAATTGCCTTCGATATTAATTGTGTCAACAATATTTACCGTTGATTTGTCCACTCACCATGTTTAACAGTGTGAGCACGTACTTCTCGACGTCATCGTCCCTGTGGTATTCGATCATCTTCTTGTCCACCACGACCAGAGTCTCCACGAACCGCTCCTTGCTGATGGACCGTCTTGCGCGTGCGCGGCCGCCATGTTGTTCGCCGCCATCTTGGTGGTGGTGGTGCTTGTTTTCCCATCGATCTCTTCTGATTTCGTCTCTCTGTCTATTACCTGCAATGTAAACACACACACCGTATTTTAATACTGCATTAACTGTCCGAAATTAAAGGAAACATGTCACAAATTCCGCAATTAATTCTTGCATCCAAATCCGGTAGATCTGGTACTAGTACATGTACCAAAGCCGTGACTAGGCACGTTGATTAAAACGATGTTAAAATGATGGATCTGATGACTTAGATCTATTTTTACTTATTTTTTCTTCAAAATGCTCACATTACACAAGAACGTATCTCAACATGTAATATTTTCGTCACTACTTTATTTCACAAGTCTCTTACACAGTGGAGGGTCGACTAAATATACTAATCTAAGCAGATTTTTTGGTGGGGGTAAGACAGTATCAAATTGGCCAGTCTGTAACCATTCCCCACCCAAAATCGTTGGTGGTGGTAGCGACAAAAAGGGCCATATATAAAAAGCAAACGATCTTCCACCATCAACCTCTGTTTGGAGAGTGTATACCTGCTGTACATACTACAGTGCCTTGGCATACTTTTAAGAACAATGATTGAGGAATGGCACCCCAGGTTGGTGTAATGGTTCGGGGCAGACCGAGGATTTCCTGCGCGAGACGGAGCCTGCACTCACCACAGGTGTTTTCTGATTAAACATAAGTCAGGAACGTTTGGATCTCATTAAGTGGCGATTTACTTCTTCGCGGGGGCGGGGGCCTTGGATCACTGCTGGGGACGCAGTTCAACTGGGTAAGGCTATTGTGCGGGAGACAATCGTTGGCTTTCCGATCAGAACAACGGGGCATTGTCAGGGGGAAAGTGCCACAGACAAACTCTACAAAGCCACTACCAAACGCTGATAAGGAGGGTTTAAAGACTTGAACTTCCGAAACTCATTAACTTGATGTACGTGACTAAGGTCATGCAATCCTCGCAAAGACCGTTTAAGATAAAAGGAAGCGTTACGAAAGATCTCCCCCTGTAGAAAGTTCAGGACTTCTACATTAAAATAGACATTTGTGCAGGTTTATTTCTTTAGCTTTTGTAAAATCCAGACGTATTTGACATTCTAACATGTACATTTTATTAGTCTATACATTGCTTTTGTCAGTGGCGTGCCCCCCGGAGTTACCCAGCCTTGAAGGTATGTAGTGAAGGCGGGCAGACAAGCCGCCGCCGGCCCGGCTATCAGACTACGGCTTCCTGATGACCTTCGAAACGGGACAAGCAGGTGGGTTGCAGCGTTGCTAAGTCATATTTACACAGTTAGGAGGTGTAACGGCGAAACCTCCATTGCCTATCGTGTAATGGCTTCGCTGCCCCTCCCCCTTCCGATGTTACATACTTGACCTGTAGGTTACACTGCAGGTGCCCAGGTCATGTCGGTGACAAACAGCAAGTGAAGCGAAACATTACATGTACTCCCCAGCTCTTCTACAAGGCATTAGCCTTTCACATTAGGCTGTTGATTTGATTATATGGATGACATCTGCCTGCGCATGAAGTTTCGTTCGTTTCCAAGAAAAAAAGTTTTTGGCCATACTGTAAATCGTACAGAGCAGTTGCAAAATGTGCAAATATATGAACTTTATCGACACAATACTTGAAAAGTACTTTCGAAAGGTATATAAGCCGTAAATTAAAAAAAAAAGGAATATTGGAAAGCAATACTAATGACGTGGAATGCCAAAATCAATTCCAAAGGAAAAGAAGAAAATGTGAAACTAGAATTCCGAGATCTCATACCTCCATGAAATATGATCTTGATATGTAAATGTAAATTTCTTCTTTAATTGTGCAAATGACCTCTGCATTAACATGATATATGCATCGTGATGTATGTTAACTTTTGATTAACTTACAGATGTCCCAAGTATGACATTCTCATCATTCACCATTACGAAATCATAGAATTTTCGCATTAATTATGCAAATTAGGTCATCATTTGCATAATTAGTATCTGTTGAAGTTCGGCCTGCCATAGGTTACATACATTACATGTATGTAAGTAGTATAATGTAAAACACTGTAATTATAGAATTTCCTCATTAATTATGCAAATTAAGTCCTCATTTGCATAATTTGCATTTAATTATGTACATCTCTCTCTCAGCTACCTACACACCAAAAATAATGAAAATATGTTGTTCCTGTCTGGACTTATTGGCTTTTAAACATTTCGCCAGAAAGTGCCCTGCAGTTCCAGAACAAGCCGCTAGGGGGCCCAAACTCATGTGACTTCTTCCCAAGCACGAGAGCTACCTTCCATCAAAATTTCATGACCCTAGCATGTCCAGATCGCGAGATATCAAAACCGGAAGTTGCGCTGCAGTACCAAGGGAAGCCACTAGGGGGACCAAAATCTAATCATTTCCAGTTTTCGTCACACCCTACCAACACACCAAATATGAAACCAATCCATCCAGGCGTTCTTGAGTTATCTTGTTGACCAACAGACGGACAGACGGACAGACAGACGGACGGACAGATAAACCCAACTGAAAATATAACCTCCATGACACATTTCATGGAGGTAAAAATGAAAATGAAGTCTATTATTCGCCATATGCATACCATACTTCGTAGATTCCACGTAGATTTCATAATGAAACTTTTTTTAATTCGCACGCTCGCTTCGGTTTTTTTGGTTCGAATAGACTATATCCTCCATATAATCAAATCAACACGGCCTCACAAGCCTTAAATAGCAGTATTTTTCAGACGAAGATGTCGCCCTTATTTCTTCACACTGACAGAGATCAAGTGCATGTTGGTACACATCCGCCAGCCTTGGGAGGCGGAGGGATATATATACATATATATATATATTTACGCGAGGGAGGTCTCGGCCAAGGTTGCGACTTTGCACAGTATCAATGTTGATTGAGAAAGAGTTGAGTACGCGATGTGATGCCGGATCGGAGAGGGAACTAATTCTAGGCAATTTAAATGATACGTGGTTTTAAACATAGTCCAGACGACAGGTAAGGAATGAAATAAAGTACAGTCCTGACACGCGCCTCGTGATTGGGGGAATAGTAATGATTTGCTATGAGGACGGCTCTCGGCTGCGGCCGTGATTCTTCTACAAAGGAAGGCAGTTCACAAACAGCAAAACAACTGCATGGAGACTGAAATAAACTGAACCACATGCAAGGTTGCGAACGTGCATGCAATCTGAGGTTTATTTCGCTCGGAGCTCAGCTAGTCTGTGTTACGCAAACTCTGCCTCCCCCGGCTGGATGTTGGGCGGCCTGCAACCGTAAAGCGATTTAATCAGACTAGAGTTCAGCGATTTGCAACAGAAAAAAAGAAGCTACAAAATGAGTTGTAAAAACATTCTGGGCTCCCTGTGAGAGCAGCTATCAGTATCAGCCATGTCAGTAGGCACGTATTGCAGTCTGGTCTTTTATCTCGTCCGAGTCCATGTGGCCCCAATAACGTGCGGGATTTTCTGTCTGGGAGCAAACATCTGCCGACGCGCCCGGATAAAGCCGTTATGCGGCCAAACAGGTGGTTCGGTGAAAGTTAAAGGCAGGCAGGATTCACACAACGCTGGTTCTGGTCCGGTCCCAGAGTTAGAACCGCCCCGGGCCACGTGGCAGGTTTGGACCGAGTCCACGCGACTCTCTGTTGACTGAAACATGTCTCCGACATTAGCAAATTAACGGGTGTGTGTGGGGGGGGGATGCCCCACGACAAGCCACGCATTGTATTACTTTCACACTTTGATCTTGCTAGATTCTGACATTGTTAAATGTATGGAGACTGACAGACCCTTTTGCTTTCTTCTATTTTGGATTAATGGATCATGAATCGAAGATTATGTCATTATGTCATCATTATGTTGCCATTTGAAGTACGTTTAAAGGGACCATGCCGCCGATTCAGACAATGATGATGATATTGATGGGAAGACCTTTCGAGAGGTTTTAGAGTGAAAACGATGCAAAATTACGCGAAGCTAAACACGTGCCTGTAAAGTCACAGGCGGGCAATAACAGATCATATATACTCCCGTACATACATGTACACGTGTGTCTTCTTTCATCGTCATTCACCTTTCCTTCCGACTTGCCCAGTCTTATCTGTCCGACTCCTTGTACGAGTGGGCTCTAAGCCAGTCTGTTACAGTAATTCTAGAGACACAGGCACGCTTTCAAAGCTATCCATTTCCTCGACCCTTCCAAGGTACTACACAGGGTTTGGTCTTACACTTTAAAACATCTGTAGTACGCTGTACGTCTAGTGCCCAGGGACTTGCCCGCTGGTCTAAAGCTGGCTAATTTCTGTTCACAGACGTCTACTAGGCACCATGCCAACGTTACACAATCACACATAACTTGAGGACGACTCTGTTACCAGCCCTGGCAAAGGAGTTATGGATGTGTATACAGTGTACACAGAGGGCTTTCACCTCCCTAGGTACAGCGCCTCAAGTGAGCCGTGACTCAGTGTCACACGACGTTGTCACAGTGTCTTCAGGTGTAGACACAACATCCCTGTACACAGCCTGTCCGGACAAGGTGTCGGGAAGACACGTGTTTACACACAGACACCTGTGAGATAGCATGTTGAAAGGGAAGACAATATGGAGATATAAGCGGACGTGATCAAGGGCAGAACAATCCGGCGCGGTTGGCAAAGAGTGTTGGTGGGAGGGGGCGAGACCTCTTTCCTGTCCTCCGACCCCCGCGTCTGCCTCAGCTGTTGTCAAAATGTACCTGTCTGTCTGTCGTCTGAATGTCATCTTTGTTTACACTTAACTTGAACATTGTTGAAAGTGAATCGGTCCACACGGAATTCCGACTATGTGCACTATGAACCAGCACACTAATCATAGCTCCGCGCGCCGGACTACCTGAAGACACAGATAACCGTGGAAGAAAAGTCACATCTGTGTCTAGGTATGAAAGAGATTTGAAATATATTTTTGCTCATCATACCATTAACTGCTGCGAATATTGATGATTAACTGAAGACTTTAATGTCTGTTTAGATGAGTAGAAACAAATCGCCACGATAAGGGAATG